TTTACGTTGAAATAGTTTTGGAACAAAAAAATTAAATGTGTGTTCATTGCGCAATGGTTTTACTACTAATATCCTCGGTAAATTTCAAAAAGGTAAATAATTTCCTATTTTGACGTTTTGATTAAAACATTTTGTCAAACTGAACACATTGTGAATTTTGAGTTCTAAACTAGTAAAAACGCAGCTAAGTTCGGACGGACCGAACTTTTAATATTTTGGAAGGAACTTGAAAATTGTTAAAAAACAAGTTAAAAAGTATCAGTCGGTATTGCCGCCAGATATATACCATCAGCCTATGTACGATTATTTAAATATATTTTGACTAGTGTTGAGATTAATCAAACATTTGACCCTCTATGGAGCAGATTCCGATGGAATGGACCAATATTGCCCATTTCCTATCGGACCCAAAAATATGATATAAATATTGCGACAAATGCGCCAAGTCTAAATGGAACCGGATGTTAATTTGGCGTTTTATGAGCTTCATGGGTACTCAAAATTTCAATATTTTGTGGGGGAGGTTCCAGAAGGAGTGGACCGATGTATTCCCCCTTCACACCAGACCTTGGGTTAATATAAATATTGGGATGTGTGAAATTTGAAGACAATCGGACTCTTACATCACATTTTATGAGAGTTGTAATTATTCAAAATGTTGACCATTTGTGGGGGAGGTACTTGATGGAGTGGACGGATATTGTCCATTTTCACACCTGACCTAGCACTGACGCAAATATTAGTATTTGCAAAATTGGAGCAAATTCGGATTATCCTTTCTCATTATGTGCAAAAAATATATTTTTTGAAAATTTCGACCTTTTGTGGAGGAGGTACCAGAAGGAGTGGACCGATATTGCCCATCTCCGAACTCGATCTAAGTTTCACAAAAATATTACTATTTACCCAATTTGGACCAAATCGGATACTCCCTTCGAGAGTTATCGTGCGCACCAGCCAGCCAGACAGACGGACGGACGGACATCGCTAGATCGACTCCAAATGTTCTGAAACGAATTTGGTCCAAAGAGACCTAGGGTCTAAAACCGTTATTTCGACTAGGCACGTTTTGGCCGTATCAAATGATATATACCCCCTGTAGCCATATGGCTGAGGGTATAAAAATCCGTCGAAAAATACTGCCAAAATTAAAATCGTTATATAGGGGCTGTACGAAGTCGACATGAAAATGGAAAATGGAATGCAGAAGTTCTAAGTGAATGCTGGAGAACTTTTTTTTTAATTTTTGATGTATTTATTTACAAAACTGCTTCTGTGATGAAACAAGGTGAGCAAGTCAGCAAAAGTCATTTGTCTTATTTAAAATGTCACTGATATAAATCAGAATACGTGATTGACTGAGCTCTTGAAAGGTGGAACGTATCAAACTGATACAGAAAATTTTAAGATTAAATCGGACATAAGCATTACATAAACAAATATTTTGGACCAAAATTGCATCTGCGAACTGTTATCCTTTTAGACTTAAGAAGAATTTCTACACAAAGACAGACATTGATAAATTGACATAGAATTCTCCAATTTGTGGGCTCCGAAATTATTAATTTATCGAGCTACAAATGTAATGACAAAATAAATAACCCTATTTAACGTGGATGATATAGAAAGAACCGCATAGATCGCTCGCTTCGGCGAATATTGATAAAATCGGCAACAAACATCACATGTCACCTTTATATGAAATTGCTTTAAGACTAGTTAGTATTCACTCACCTTACAATATTTCATTATTAAATTAATTCTATATGTTTTTCAGAGATGGTTTCATATCAACTAAAAATATTTTTTTAATATAATTTTTAAATAATAAAAATCATAAAAATCATTTTGAAGCACGAAAATTATAAAATGCTTTGTTTTAGTGATTACCTTAAAAAGGAAAAAAATAATTTAAGGGTATTAATGAGTCTGCATGTAACAATTCTCTCGGTTACAACCTTAATAACCTTGTTTTTGTTTTAATAAAAGCAAATCCAATTAATTGAAATCAACTAGAAATCATTCACAAGCTATCTCTACCAATTATCTTATTCTATGGCAGTAATCGGTGTACTTGGTGGCGTATGAGTAACAATTGATTTGTGTCATTGTGACCATGTCACAATTGTCTGCACATGTGAAACCCGATTTAGACATTTACTGTGGGACTTCCAGTTTTGAACACTACCATCCCACACATAATACTTGTTGAAAGCCAATGTAGTTGGTCAATGACAACAACTGAGTTTACTACTTTTCCGAAATCCACACGTCATCTGCACGTGTACACGACCCAGTAATGGGTAACACAGCCACACACACACACACACGCACGCAGTAATTTAGTAGTATTTACAAAGTAAAACTACTTATACTATGTCTACACATTCGTATATGTAGATACATACTGTAAATGATATGTAAACATGATGAGTATGAGCTACGGATGCCTTAACCACATAAAGTGTCCACTGTATAAGAATATATGTATATGTTAACATTGCGGTTGAATCTGAAAAAGTAAATTTTGAACGGTAAAAAATATAATTAAAAATTTATAAAAAAAAAGTGAGTGTGCAACCTTGACATTCCTCTTTCACAAGGTTATGAAGTTTTTGGGGTACAAATGATATCTTGTGTACAAAGTGTGGTCAACAGAAATTGAAAAAATGTTTTCTGAAAGAAATTAGCCCTTAAATTCGAATCTGTTATTTATCAATGATTTTTTAATTTTAATGTTTCTTATTATTCGTTCGTCATGTTATTTTACATGATAGTACTACTTAATATTTATAACACAACAATTTCACAGCGTGACACTTTACTTCCTTCCGACGTTAATTTATCACAAATAATAGAAAATGAATTTCCTAGAAAATCCATTATATGAAGCAGAAACTATTACAACGAAAAAAAAATGGTATTGAGTTATATAAAAATTAAATGGAAGTGTCAAAGGCAGTTATCAGAACTTTCACTCAAAAAATAATTCCACGAAACCAACAAGAAGTGAAAAACAATTCAGTAAATTAGATGTTCCAAGGGATGATTTTACACAAGTTCAAACAATACTATACGCTTGGAAGAATGTTTCGATTTTTTTTTCTATTAAAAACCATTAAAAATCAAAACCGTGGTGGAATTTGATGCACCTTAATTTAAAGAAGTATATTACATAATTATGGGAGCTCTTTTAAAATTGAAGATTAGAAATATATTTGAATGTATTTCGTAGCGTCGTTTTGAATATATTCGTTAAAGCCACAAATAGATCATGTTTCTGTATGTCGATACGAAAATGAATGCGAAAGAAACACGATGAATTTTTCATTGTTCTAATTGGGCTTAATTCAAATTTGAACAAGTTAAAAAGCAAATACGACATCTCAAACAATTCCAGTGAATAATATGCCAAAAATCATCAAAACACCGAATATCGGCAGGTACCGTTATATGGGGCTATAGGAAGACGTTGACCTACACAGACAATTTTCTGTCATAAGCTGTAGTATTCATTAAGAACTTCAAAACCAAATTTGAAACAAATCCGGGGAATAATGGCCATAAAATCATCAATATACCGAATATCGGAAGATACCGTTATATGGCGGCTATACCAAAACGTGGACCGATATATAATTTTCAATACCAACCATCCTAGGCATAATACAAATTGTTCTGCCAAATTTTGAGGCTCTACGTCAAATAATGTGGGCTCTATCGTGATTTCAACAGACCGAAATCTTAATATCCTTCATCATGAGGTAAAGAAAATAATTAAAAGTTAAAGTATCGAAATAATTGGGGAAGTAGTCATAAAAACTAAATGCGGGCGGACTAATGCTCCCGTGTAAATATTTGGGCGAAATAATCAAAATACCGAATATTAAGTTTGATTGTGCCAAATGTCGGTCCTCGACATAAGATAGTATATATGGATCCTCCCTTCTCGCGGAGCTGAGCCATAGCTAAATCTATGTAGGTCCGTCCATCTGTCCATGTTAATTTGTAATTAGGCTACAGACCCGATCCCTAGGAAATTAAAAATGGAGATGGGGATAGCAAAATATAGAAAATTTTTTTCTGATTTTGCATTTGCTCTACAGCTGTTAGAGATTAGAGCTGGGCAAAAGCGTACTAATCATCGGACAATATTTAATGGAAAAAAAATAAAGTATAACTTTTATGTCAAAAATACGAAAATTTCTACTAAACCGCGGTATATTATTAATCCTGCCAAGTCCCACATACATTAAAATGTCACTTCCGACCATTACGCTTATGCTGATAAGGGTAACATCTAGGCAGGGTTATATGACATCATTTCAAAAGAGAAATCTTCCAAATTCGATTTCGACATAAGGGGGCTTTCAACATATTGTAGTGTTATATCACATAGTCGGCCCCGCACGACAATATCCTTTTCTTACTTTTTTTTCTTATAGCTTCAACAAATTTTAAAGAATATTTCCCAAGAAGACATGCAGAAGATATAATAAAGATATACAGTTTTCTAGCCTCACCGAGCCCTTGTAGGAATCATCAAAAAGCAGTTAACAATAAAATGCATTACCCTATGCCAAATGTAAAACTGTAATGCTTGCACAGCATGTTGCCCTTGATAATTAGACTTGAGATTTAGATTTGTAGCTATTGACTCTACCCTTATGAACTTAATCTTATATACTCGTTGTAAAATACTATATAATCGTCTTGATTCAAACAAATTGAAGTTCATAATCTTCTTTTGTAAAAATTGTTGAAGATTTTTAGAAGTCCTACATATATGTAACTTTCAATGGATATGACTACGAATTTAAAAACTTAAGGAAAAACTTAAGGAAAAAAATTATATAATTCTTAATTGAATCTAATTATAATTTACCTGCGTGTTTGTAAGCCTGTAAGAACTTTCAATGGATATGACTACGAATTTAAAAACTTAAGGAAAAACTTAAGGAAAAAAATTATATAATTCTTAATTGAATCTAATTATAATTTACCTGCGTGTTTGTAAGCCTGTAAGACAAGAAGAGAGTTATAAAATATACACTGAAGATTTCAAAAAGTTTAAACTTACGTTTTCCGAAGTTTTGTCAATTCCATGGTTTCTGTGTCCGTTCCAATAAAATACGGATTCATCAAATAGTTGTTACACTTTCACTGGTATTGGTATGCGACCACCTCTGTTTTTATGATAATGCAAATTAAATCGGTGCACATTCTTAAACCGAAACGAAATTTAGATAAAGTTTATACTTTTTAGAAAGTATTTTTTTTATAGCACCAAAGGACTTGCAGACTTCGTTGCTGTGTTAGTGCTCCTCTATTCGACATTTGTATTTTGAGATCTTCATTGTAACATTTGGAGCGATAGATATGTAAATATGCATTAATTTCCCGATATGATTGATTGCACCAAAGGACTTGCTGACTTCGTTGCTGTGTTAGTGCTCCTCTATTCAACATTTGTATTTTGAGTTCTTCATTGTAACATTTGGAGCGATATATATATTGTCATACCATTTTTTCTTTGACAATAAGAGAAAGGACATCATGTTTCTGAAAAATGCAAATTATAAATATAATACAAATAAGAACCACAAAAAAAATGGAATACCTTATTGATGAGACTTGTGCACTATGATCACCAATCCCAATTGCCAGATGAGGCATGTACTTTATGACCCTCAGTAAAGCCATTTTTTATACGAGAAACAACATATTATATATAGAGTCCAAATACATATATAATCAGGAATGTGGACGTAGATAAAATATCCGAATGTAGCTCCAAAGTATAATACTAGCTTCACATAAATCTCCAGTGAAAAAAATTGGGCGGCGTCACAGAGTTCTCAAGTTCTTTGTAAAATCAACCATTTCCTCTGACAACGAACAAATTTCCCGCGTTTTTTGTACTTCCTGAGGCTTGTTTGTATCAATACAGGAAAGTTCTCATCGCAAATTATGTGTATGTTTTTATATAAGCGATTTTGTATTGGTAAAATTAGCAATATCTCCGAATTTTTTATATCAATCACAAGCCGTATTCTTAAAATTCTTAAGAAGCTTTAATTTGGAAGTATTTTTAACAGCAAATTATAAAAACTTTAACTTTAACAAGATACTCGCGAAAAAAATCAAATGTACTCTCCCGAACCGTTGCAAAAACTGAATATCAAAAGAGAAAAAGAAGAATGTTGACATTTGCAACAGGGTGTCACAAAGAAAAACTAATTTAAAGACGATAGACAGGGTCCTGCAAATCGAATTAAAAGTTGCATTTGGCAATGCTGTATCTAATAGATAAATTCAAATTAGATTAAGCTTTTGCTAAGTTTACACTTGCTGTAATCCAGAATTTTTAGGATGATAACAGTATAATGTCTAAAATTTTCAATTACAAATTTGGTTTCCCAGAGGTGTGTCAATGCGACCACCTGTATTCTTCTACCATGACATTAAAGCCTTATTTATATTGAGTCTCGATTATAAGTCAAATAAACGACCAATCTTCGTAAAACATATAGTTTATGTTTTTGTATGTTCATTCCAAACATTGGATTGGATTTTTTTTGTAGAAAAATAAATAACTACGCAAAATTGACAGAAATCCGGCACACTTAGAAAAAATTGTAATTAGCTGAAAGCTCCTTTTTATTGTATATTCTAGAAACAGTAAAAAACTATTAGTTTTGTAATATTTTTATCATAAAAAACAAATCGGCTATCGTAGTAAAATATATAAATTTTTGAATGTTCCGTTTCGAAATATGCAAGAGTCTTATAAGTTTACCACTTTTCCTAGAATATGCTCTGTTCACGAACCTATAAGAATTTACTAGTTTTGCAATTTTCTTCGATATCATAAATGGAAAATCGGTTATCGTAGTGAAAACTTTTACATTCTAGCAGTTCTGCGAGACCAATAGCATAACTTTAAGCCGATTTAAATTAAATTAAAAAATGTCTGTCTGCTTTGTCGACAGAGTGATACCCTCAGCCGGTAGGGTGCGAATACATAAAACGCTTATCCGGCTCGCTTCTTCGAAAATTAACAAAGGAGCCTAGGGCCAAAATCAAACTAAGTCAACCTAAAACTCCTTTGTTCATCTACGAAGAAGCCAGTCGATGACTTAAGCCAGCCAAATATACGCGTTATGTATTTCCACCCTTAGTCTGATCTAATCATTGGAGGTGACATGTTTGGATGATGTGTATATACTTTTTGAAAATGCTCAACATTTTTGGGAAGTTACGAAAAAGAATGGGACGACATATCCAATATACACTATTTTTGAAGAAAATCGCTGATTTATTTTGCATGTATAAGGGTTATAATGTTAAAAGTGATGAAGGTACCACAGGGACTGGGCCCATAAATTTCATATTTATATCAGACTTTTTGTTGGTAAAAATATATATGTATGTTTGAAGAAAATCGTTGATAAATTTCGCATGATATGAGAGTTATTATTATTGAGAATCTTGACCCTTTGTGGGGGAGGTACCAGAAAGAGGGAACAGATATATTATAACTCCATAATAGATCTCGTGTAGTATTAGGTTGTTTCACGTTGCTCACGTTTGTTTATTCAAAATATTGATCCGTCGTGGGGAGGTATCAGAAGGAAAAGTGCGAAAAGCATATTTCGCATTTTATGAGCGTTTTAGATATTCCAAATTTTGACCCTTTTCAGCGAAAGTATTCAAAGGAGTGGTCCGATATATCCTATCTTCACATCAGATCTCCGCTATACTCCATCTTTACCCGAGATTTTGTAATGGTAAAAATATTGGTATATGTGAAATTTGAAGAGAATCTGCACTATATTTCCCATTTTATGAACGTTTTAGATATCCCAAATTTGGACTCTTTGTAGAGGCGATACTTTTAGTTCGATCTTGTCCATTCCTTCACCCTTTCTTGTGGTAATGCAAATATCACGATTTGCTAAGTTTGAAAACATTCAGATTATTTGTACACTTCCTATTTTTTATGAAAATTTTGACCTTTTGTGGGGGATGTACCAGAAGGAGTGGATCGATATATTCCATCTTCACAGCAGATCTTGTGCTATTAGAATTAATGAGATGTGAAATATGAAGAGAACCGGATGCCTATTTCGAATTTTGTAACCGGTTTTGGTTATTCAAAACGTTGACCCTTTGTGGAGGTACCAGAAGGAGTGGTCCGATCTCTACCATCTATATAACAGATCTTGTGTTAATGGATATATTGACATTTGTTAAGTCTGAATGGAATCGGATGTTAAAATCGTGTTTTATGAGCTTCATGGCTGTTTCAAATGTTGACCCTTTTTGGGGGAGGTACCAGAAGAAGTCGTAACAGTTGCATCTTCACACCCGACCTTGGGTTAATAAAAATATTGTGAAGTGTGTAGTTTGAAGGCAATCAGACACTTATGTCGCATTTCAAAAGAGTTATAATTATTCAAATTTTTGACCCTTTGTGGGTGAGGTACGTGATAGATTGGACCGATATTGTCCATTTTCGCACCTGGCCTGCACTGATGCAAATATTAGGATATAGAATGTTGGAGCAAAATCGAATCACAATTTCTCTTTCTGTTCAGCAAACTATTTTTTTTTGAAAATTTCGATTTTTTATCTATGTTTGATAATAATAATGTACCAAGTTTGGACCAAATCGGTTACACCTTTCGAGAGTTATCGTGAGTACCAGCCATCCAGACACACAGAAGGACGGACATCGCTAGATAGACTCCAAATGTCTAGAAACGGATTTGGTACAAAGATACCTAGAGTCTAAAACCGTTGTTTGATGAGGCACGTTTTGGCCGAAGCAAATGGTATATGCCCTCATTATCCATATCGCTGAGGGTATAATCATGGTACAATGAAGAGAAGGTAGGTCAACTTTGAAAAAATAGCAAGTATAGAGGTCTACCTGTTTGGCTTGTAATGTCAGAATTATTATCAAAACAATAAAAAATCAAACAAATTGTTGCATTGATTTTGAATAAATAATTTAAAACCGCGAAAACTGAATGAATGGTCAAAATTTCTTTTCAATATCATGTTCTATATATCTCTTATAGTTTATTTCGCGACAAAAACTGTAGATTTTGTCGATGCATTCGTTGCAATAAGCATTTTGAAAACACCCGAATTTGAATATTTTCTGAACAATTTTTTATTATTGAAAAGAAGACACACACATAAGCAAATGAAGTTGACATATTAAGCCAGAAAAATAAAAAAAATTAAATCATATGGTAGTTCTGCCCTACCTTGAATTCATTGTACCATGGGTATAATAAACAATAATTGAGGTGAAAGCTTTCAATTAGACAAATTCAGTCCGGTAAAAATTTGTAGCTAAATTTCCAGCCTCTGATAGCTCTAGATGTGATATTTAAAAGATTTACAACCATTTCGTGCACGTTCTTACTGACTAGAGTAGAATTTAACATTTATTAATTTTACCTTTACCAGTTTTACCTTTGAAATGCACGGGAAAACAACATATATTTGGAAGTTTTACCTGGTAACAATAGTACCATATTTTATTCGTTTGGCAACACTAAACAGGAGCTTAATGTCTTTAAAAATTCTCTGTGTCACCCTGTTGATCTCATTAGATTCGACTTCATTTCTCCTTTTTATTCGCAGTTTCTTTTAACGTCGCGTACGGTTCGGTTCAGCAAATTCTTTCTACGTAATTCGAGTATAAAAAATATCTGTAAAACTTTTATAAAAATGCTAAAATACACAGTGTATAAAATGCCATATGCCACTCCAAACTATAATTTGTGTAAAAGTTTTACTGTTTTTCTCCCAATTTAATGTAAAATTGTGTTGTACAAGAAAAAAAGGCGCAAATTCTTGACAAGCAAAAGTGTGTTAGTGCAAAAAAGGCGGGAACATTTATGGAGGAAGAGGATGTTCGTTGTTATTCCCTTTTGAATCATGAGTCATGACATTGCAACATTTGAAGACTCTAGAAGATTGCATTGTCAAACTGGATTGAAATTATTGAATTGGAAAATGAATAACCAAATCGTCCTTGGATTTTAGTCGTAAATTCTGTTTCAAAGATATAATCAATCAAATGGGTATGTCATTTGAAATCTAATTGGAAGAATTCTGATTGAAACCAAAATGCAAGACCATAATCAGTGGAAGGTTTGAAGTTATTTCCATGTACCAACTTCCGCTTTGGTTGGAGCTTGCCCATCACTGCGGCTATAAGTTAATATCCTTCCTGAATATAGATAGATATTCTGGTCACAAACCTTTGGATTTTTACCCTCAAAGAGAATAAAGCATTGGGAAAAGGTAAGTCTTTTGTAATAATTTGATAAATTGATATTAATATTTTGCAATTTTTATAACATTCTTTGCAGAATAAACCTCGCTGGCGTTTTCAATTAATATTCCAAATCGGAAGCGATATTATATCGATATCAGACACTGTGTCCAATGATTTGCGATAGTGAAACAATTATAAGAATATCTTCCATTCATCGAGTTACCACAATCATCAGAAATTATTCGGTTTGCGTTGCAGTGCTTTTCGTACATTCGGTTAGTCTCCTTTTTATCGGTTCGGTTCGCGTCCTAAATTTGAATTTGTTATCGGGTACAACATTCATTTTAAAATTTATCGAGGGGGTGTCAGTCAGAAAATATTTGCAAATTTGTTCTATTATCACTAAATCCCTTCCAACCCTTACATATTTGAAGGATTAAGGACTCATCTTGGAATGCATTGCAGCTATATAATGCGAAATGTGAGTATATGAGTCACATATGTTATTTCAATAATTCTCAAATTATTCTTTATTTTGTTCACAGGTCCACAATTCAAGAGAATATTATCAATCTACAGGTAATTCAAAACATATGCTATATTTAATTTATTTAATTATTTGAAACCACTACTGCCCATTACATAACGACTCAAAACTACATGATTTTAGTATATTGTTTTAACGGTTGACTCCAAATGCGTTGTATGCAAAACAAATATCGAAATGAGGTGGACAAATATGTATTTTCAAAGTATTTAATTCAGTAATATAAATACCAATACGTGTTTAATACTTTTCTCTTCTATCATATTCATTAAATCATTGTGCAATACAAATGCTCATATACTGTTTACACTTAAATATATT